TGTGTGTGTGTGTCAGGACGATGAAAGGCGGGAACACTTGGAGGTGTGCGCAGAGGGCGGGGTCATCGTCCAGCAGCTGGCCCGGAGGATCGTAGAGGACGGCGGGGCGGCGCTGATCGCCGACTACGGCCACGACGGAACCAAGACGGACACGTTCAGAGTACCAAGAGTTTTTTTATGTCTATGAAGGTTTTCTATAGATCAGACGATCATGAGTTTAGTTCTGTTGGATTTTGGAATCAGATGTTCGCAGATGGGACATGAACAAACAAACCAAATACTCCACCATCACCATTATTTACACTCTTTGTTCCAAACACAGTATGAAAACACAAGGTTCGGTTTAGTTGCAAAAAAAATGATAAAACAAACTGGGATAAAAGTGATAACTCAGTATTTTATTTTTTTATTTTAGTTTATCTTTAGTTTAATAAAACTTAAACCCAGAACCACTTTGAGGATCCTTCAGGTTCTGTTGTAGATCAACTGTGTTTGTGAGGATCAGTTTAAGATTCGGACTTTAAAGCGAGGACGCTCTGTCCGGTCGTCTCTTCAGTTACAGTTGAAGGAAGCAGATGCAGGAAGTAGTGAAGCTCCTCTGCTGCAGGCGGGGGGGAAACCAGGCTGGACTGACTCATCGCTCCTCTTCCTCCGCTGCTCCTTCCTCCGCTCCTCACTGATGTTTTTATTTTCAAGTCTTTCACTGTGTTCGTAAACACATTCAAACCTTACAACCCACATCATCAGTTCTCGATGCTAGATTTAAAGAGCCACTGTGTAACTTTTACTGAGCAACAGCGCCCTCTGCAGTCAGATACATCTCACAGTTACATAGTGTTGCTTTGACTTTGTGAATATCTATTACCCATAATGCTCTCAACCCTCCCTGGTGTTTTTCTTCTCGCTGTCATTCGTCAGGGTTTTAAAGGTCAGCAGCTCCACGACGTCCTGGCCTCCCCCGGCTCGGCCGACCTCACTGCCGACGTTGACTTCAGCTACCTGCGGAGGATGGCTGGAGGGGGCGTGGCCTGTTTGGGACCTGTCACTCAGAGGACGTTCCTGAAGAACATGGGCATCGACACACGAATGCAGGTGAAACTGATGCAGCGAGAGTTTAGTTTCAGTGGCTTGTTGCTGTGAGAGAGACCGTTGACATCATCAATATGAAACTATTGATTACTGGAGCTTTGATGATCAGTCAATGTAACTCCACTCCAGAACATCAGTGTCAGAACCAGAAGTACGTCTCACCAGATGTTAAAACTCCCTCTGCAGGTTCTGCTGAGGAACTGCAGTGACCCGTCCACCAGGAAGCAGCTGATCAGCAGCTACGACATGCTGACCAACCCCGCCAAGATGGGCGAGCGCTTCCACTTCTTCAGCCTGCTGCACCACAGCCGCCTCGCCAAACCCAAGAGAGCGACGGGGATGAAGCTGGAGAAGACGAGCCCGGCGCCGCTGCCCGTGGCCGGATTCACTGAGCTCAGCTTCTCCTAGAGCGTCAGAAACTTCTGGAAACAACTGGAAACTTGTCAGATCTTTTCTAGTCAAGTAAGTGAGGGAGCTGAAACAGACTTTACAGAAGATCTAAGATTTCTGGATTCCGTAATATCCACTGTTCACCAGTGCAGCTGCAGGGGGCGCTGTTGCCCAGTAATACTCACATGTTGCTTTACATGTGTCTGGAATCTAGAGAAGAAGCAGAATATTGTTGTTCTCGACCAGATTGAAATTATCTGAACTTAAAACTTTTCTGTTCAAGTCGGTTGTAAAAAGCATTTTAAGGTAAAAGTTCAAATAAATAAATCTGCATTTTTTATATTTCCTGTTAAATCAAAGGAGGCACTTTTTATTTTTTAACTTTGTGTTGAAACTCAGACTGACACCTGATATCGAGCCGCAGCACCAAACTGTGACATCAAGTCAAAGGTCGTCCCGCTGCAGGAGGTTCTCTTTCCTCCGCATGTCGTCTCACGGCGCCGCCTGCCTCTGTCCACATCTTGAAGCTGTTAGCTGAGCTCCCAGTTGTACTGCAGCCATTCACAGCGAACTCCTCCGGTAGCAATTAAAAGATTCAGTTACACATGGTGGGGGGTCGCCGCTGCCAGAACAAGCAGCCGCCCTGCAGAGGGGCGGCAGAGCGAGCTGGTCGCGCTCAGGATTTGGTTAATTAAGAGATCGCTTCCAAACATCCTGCTTTGTTTAATTTGATGAGTCTGACTCAAACATTTCAAAGAAATTACAGGATTTTATTGAACTGAAGATACCAGACGATGTAGAATCCGTTTCTCAGAGTCACTGAAATCATCCACACGACACAAAGTCTCTTGCAAAAATATAAAACGTGAAATGAAATTCTCAGGCTGGAATCAGATCTGGATCAATGATGCTCGAGAGTCCGGTTGTTGTTTTTTCTCAGACACGACGATCGCAGATTGATTTGTGTAAAGTTTCATCCTCATCTTAGAAAACAAAACCAAAATCTTCAGAAACTTCAGAAAATGTTTTGTCATATTACAGAAGAACAAAAAAGTGAATTTCTCATTTTTAAAAGATTTCCCCCAAAAGTGCAAACAACAAAAACATCAACAAAACATAAAAGTCACAATTTCTTTCAGACGTATTTGTTTCTTCTGCGTTTGTTGAACTAAATGTGTGAAACAGCTTCATGAGAAGAATCACGTAGTGAAAATATTCTGTCCGAACATTAAGTCTCTGGTTTTGTCGTTCGTTGAGCGTTTCTCTGTCTCAACAGGAAGAAAAGATCGAGCGGTTTTTAAAAGTCTGAATATTAAATCTTCAGTTCTCAGGATGTTTTTTACAGTTTGTAGAAAAAAGAATTGGAAAAAGATGAAATGCATTGAAAACTTCCTCTGGACCTGATTTCTCACCGTGTACCTGACCAGCACGGCCTCGTCGCCCACATTGTCCCGTGCTGCCATGCCGACAGCTGTCTGTCTCCATGGTGACAGTGACCAAGGTCTTCATAGCGACCACTGCAGCAGCTGAGGGACTCCTCGGGGGTCTGCTGCTTCATCGTAGGAAGCGTCCATCCTCTTGCAGCCACTAGGGGTCCTCCTCCATGTCGTCCAAGTTTGGTGACATGATGAAGTGTTTGGGGTAGTGCAGCCCGTTCTCGTCGGCGTGCTCCTCCCAGCGGGCGTCGTCGCTGTCATGGGTGATGTAGCGCTCGCCTCGACGGGTCTCAAACTCCCTGAGGTCCAGCCAGGTCTGGTAGTCCTGCGGGACAACGACAGCAGCGGTTAACATCATGAAGGAGATTCAAACCAAGGAGCTCGTATGAAATCTGGTTCGAGGTGGAAGAACTCGTAAAATCCTCCCGTTGTGCTTCAGTGTTTTCTAAAAGTGTCGCACAGTGTTCGTTACCTGCAGCCAGGGGTGACTCAGCGACTTGTCCACGCTGTAGCGCTTCCTCATCTTCACCTGCAGCAGGTTGTTGATCAGGTCTGTGGCTGGAAACCATTAACGACATGACGCCAATTATTAACTGATGGTTACAGCTCGTCCTTCACTGGATATTGAGGATACATCGTGACCTGCTCTCGGTCTTTGACTCGTCTGGCTTACCCTGCTCGGAGATCTCCTTCCAGGGGTTGGGCGGGTACATGAAGGCGGCGTTCTGGATCTGGTGGTCGATCTCTTCGTCTTCGTTGAAGGGAAACGTCCCGCTCAGGCTGACGTAGACGATGACGCCGACCGACCACATGTCCAGGGATCGGTTGTAGCCTTTGCTGCGAAGAACCTCAGGCGCCAAATAAGCCGGAGTGCCGACCACCGAGCGACGGAAAGACTTCTCCCCGATGATGCGAGCGAAGCCGAAGTCACAGAGTTTCACCTGGAGAGAAAAACCAGAGGCGGAGGAAAGTGAAACCAAAGAACGAAGAGACAGTGACCGAAGTTTTAAGATGATTTGGTCGAACCTGAGGAAACGGTTCTGCTGAGGCCAGGAGGACGTTCTCGGGCTTCAGGTCACAGTGGACGATGTTCTTGAAGTGAAGATGTCTGAGGGCCACGAGGATCTGGAGACACAACAAAGCGGTTTAGTCAAAACTCAACAGCAAAAAAAAAACTTCCACAATTCCATGAAATTAACGAATATAAATCTCGTAAACTATTAAACAATTTCACAAATGAGTTTTTGTGCCCGACCTGTGTGACCAGGAACTTGGTGAGACGCTCAGGGAGTCGACTCTTCTCGCTGGATAAAATCATCTCCAACATGTCGCCGTGGAGCTTCTCCATGACGACAAACACCTGTTCAGGCGTCTCAAACATGCACTCCAGGTTGACGACACCGCGGTGGTGGAGGTTCTGTCGCAAAACGAAAGAGTTTAATCTCCCTGACCTCTTAGATTAGTCATGTAGTTGTACTCAGATGTATTTGTGTCGTCTGTCTCGTACCTGGAGAATGGCCACCTCGTTCCTCAGCTGACTCTCCTGTTTGGTGGGAAACCTCATTTTGTCGATGATTTTTATCGCGACGTCTCTGCCGCTCTTCCTGTGTTTTCCTGCAGAGGTCGACGGAGAGGAGATTTAATCTTGACATTTGTAAACGGATGTGACTGCAGATGTATCCGGCTCACAGGTGCAGTTTTATTTCACTTGTTTCAAGCCTCACCTCCGTAAACGATCCCGAACTGTCCGGAGCCGAGGACCTCGTCTGCAAAGATCTGATACACTGAACTGATATCCTGACGAGAGATCAGAGCGCATTCAAAGATTAGTCACTTCAAGTCTTCACATCATCTCATCAATCATCTCCACAGGCCAGGAAACTGAAATAAATCATAGTTTGGAGGCCCGGAGGTGACGAACGTCACATAAATAAAGTGACAAAGATAAATAATAACATCAACGTGCCGACCTGCAGCCTCCTCAACATTTACTTTGACGTGTGTGACTCACCACATTTTCTTGTATCTGGGAGTTGGACACTGATATGCTGATGGAAAGTTCCTCTGAGGGAAACAAAGACAAAACAGTAAATTCATATAAAACCCACAAATACTGTGACTTCACTTCCTCTCCGCTGGTTTAATCCATTTAATGAAAAGTCTTCACTCAAGAAGTTCTGATGGTGAACGTGTCGACGTTTTGTCAAAGTGACAAAAAACACAAACGAGAAAAAGAGAAAAGATTTCTCAAAAATTACACAATATATATTTATCTTTCAGAGACGTGTATTTATTGTATAATTGCACATATTAAAACTCCTTCTGGTCTCAA